ATCTTGTTATCAAATTTAACACAACATTCAAATTACAGCAAGATCATAAAGCATAATATCATAAATCCTAACATCATAAGTCTTCAAATTCAAGCAAAATCATAAGTCATATAAGTTATAATATCACAAATCATAACAATACCTTATCTAACAATACCAAATTGTCATTCAAGAAAAAAAATAAATAACAGTACCAAACTAAAATTGTTAAAATTTCATAAAATATAAAGTTTAAACTTTGAAGTCACTAGTTTGAAACCACATAATCTCTAATCCAAGTGTTGAAACTTCTCCTTAAGATAATATTTCCACTCCAAGCTCACTAGTCATTAGCAACAAGAGAACTTCCACTAAATTGATATTCATATCCCAGCACCTCATCTTCAGCATGACCAGTAACAGTGTTGTTACCTAATTCATGATGAACAAACACTCAAAACAATTTCAAAAGAATATCCCAAAATAAGGTTCATCCATAAAAAAAAAAAAAAAAAAAAAAAAAAAGACAGATTAGCTACTATTTTAATTTAATTGAAACCATATAAAACCATATAGATATTCATGAATCATGATTAACCACTACTTCAACTTAATTCATTCTATTTTTGTCTTTTCTTTGTACCAATCCCATGTGCATGCCAACAATATTCTATAGAGGTGGAAAGATTAAGGAGAATATATCTTTCTTTTCTAGAAATACCAAACAAAAAAAATTCAAGAATTGAAGACTTCAATTGTAGCCAATCAACTGAAAAAAAGATAGATTCAAATCACATAATCAATGAGATATATGGCAAATACTAAGACAAAAATAGTAAAATTTAAATATTAAAAACCTTCATGTTATCTTCCTTTTGAAATCCATTCAACCAAGTGCGGGTTGTTATCAAGGCCTCTGCATTTTTTGGTAAAAGAGAACCTCTTAATTTTGTCAAGACATGCCCACCCATGCTGAAAGCAAATTCACTAGCTACAGTTGTAATTAGGATAGAAAGAATGTCTCTTGCCATTCTAGCCAAGTCTGGAAGACACTTTTCATTTTGTTTCCAAAACTCAAGGATATCTAAAGCTTGTTGGTGTGGTTGCCTACCTTCCTCCAAGTATTGACGAAATTGATAGGTGTGCACTTTTTCCATATCAAAATTTTCAAAGCCCTACATAAAGGTAAGAAGAAACAAATTAATTAGAGTAAAATGAATTAAGTTAAAATAGTTTGAGAAAATTGAAGAAAGTTAAGAAACAAAACAATTATTACCTCCATTAATCGATCTTTATTACCAACAACTTCAGTCATAGTAGTTGTAGGCATTGTGGCATTATTTGCACTTTCCAACTTGCTGCCCTCCATTACATATTCATTGTAAAGTTGATGCAATCTATCAGTAACATGATTGACCTTGGCAATGTATGTTTCCTCATTTAGTATCTTGTAACAATATGTCACAAAAGATAACTTATAACGAGAATCCAAAATTATGGCAAAAGCAAGAATAAGGCTATAAGAATCCTAGTACTTCTCAAATTTAGCCTTCATGTTGGTTGCCATGTCTTTGATATAGATATCCCCACACTTGATATTCTCCAACAAGCATCACTCAATCTTCCAAACATGCTTAAAGTATAAATTTGATGTTGGATATTTCGATCTAGAAAACAAAGTGCTGATTTCACTAAAAGGCTGTAAAAGTTCACAAATTCTACCAACTCGCTTCCATTCTTCTTCATCCAAGGTCCATTTAAAATTTTCATCATCCAATTCAAAAGAAGCAAAAACACCTTTATAGATTGCTGCCCTCTCAAGCATTTTATGTGTGGAATTCCACCTAGTAGGAAAATCTAACCATAATCCCTTGCTTAAATCACAACTAGCTTGTTTAGCACATTCTTCAAAATTTAACATCCTTCCCTCAGTGGCAATTATATACTTTATCCCATCCCTCCATTTTCTAATGCTATCATCAATCACCTTCAATCCTTCTTGCACAATTAAATTCAAAATATGAGCAGAACATTGAACATGGAAATAATCTCCACTAGACAACAATGGCCTTTCAAGATTGAGCTGATTACGCAAAGCTTCTTGCATGTTATCATTACACCTAGCATTGTATAAAGTGATTGAAAATATTTTACTTTCAATGCACCACTCCTTCAGCAGCTCATACACTTGTTTAAACAAAATTCAAGCTATGTGTGGAGGTGGGACATGCAAAAAATTCAAAATCAAGCTATGTAAATTCCATTCATCACCAAGAAAGTGACCAGTCAAACAAAGGTAACCTTGAGTAAATGCAGATGTAATACCCCCAAAATTTCTAGAGCATCAAGTGAGAGTTAGAGACCTAATTGTGAAGAAATACTATTAATGAACTTAATAGCACATATTTTCAAAGTTCAAGGACTTAAAAGAAAGGAAATTAGGATAAGGATCAAGGCTGATATTTCTCTCCTCAGCCACGTGTTTTGCTCTTCCTCATCTTCTTCTTCCCGACTCTTCTCCCCCGATAAGCCCCCCCAAGCCACCGACTCTCTCCCCCTTGAAAAAACCGGTGAGATCTTGATGAAATTTCTCCTTCTTTCTTGCTTAATCACAAGATTTGGGGCTTAGAATTCTCTCCCTCAACCCAAAAATCCCGGATCTGCTTTGCTTCTTCCTCCCTTGTCCGTCGGGTTCTGCTGGGTTTGAATCCTTCGGCTTTTTCTGGTAAGAAGCAGCCTTGAATTCACCTTTTCAACTTTAATTTGGCTTGGGTTTACCTTGAATTGTGTTTTGGTTTTTGGATTGAGGTAGCCGTGAGTTTCCCCTGAATTTTCTGCACATGCCGCCGGCCTCCACCCCAAACCCGCCAGCTCCGGCCTTGCTCATTGAATTCCGGTATGGACAGCTTCTCTAAGTCCAGATTTTACCCCTTTAATTGCTGAATTTTGTCTGTCAAATTGCTACTTTGTGTGTGTCCGAATTGTGCCGGAAATGGGGAGGAATTCCGGTAGTATTTTAAATGTGTTTTAAGCTTGATTATGTAGAATTTAGCTTGAATTAGCTGCTGTGATGTTTTGTGTGAGAAATCCCGGGTGTGAGTGTGGTTTTTGCCGAGCCATTTTCTCCATTTTTCTAT